CCCGCCGACGGCAGGTTGAGATCCCCCATGACTATAAGTTTGGGGGTCTCAACCGCCACCCCGGCTATCACGTCAGCCAGCTCAGGCAGGGCCGTTAACACATAGCAGGGGGCCAGGTATATTATCAACAGGCCCACTTGCACCCCTTGCCCCCACTTCACAAGGAGGGACTCTGCACCGTCTATCTGAGGCACAGTGGCCTCCCTTGGACACAGGCTCTCCCTTATAATGACCGCTACCCCCCCGCCCCTACCCCGGGCCCTCGGCTTCCCCCAGCTGGTGACCCAGAAGGGTTTGACAAAAGGGCCCAGCCAGTAGGGCCAAGTTAAAAAATTATTTATGGAAAACCAAATTATCCCTGAATATTTTATACTGGCATCTACAAAGTTAACATAACCAAAAAGGTTTCTCTCAAATGTATCCCACAATTAATGATGGATGGATGAAAACTGTTTGTATAGTTAACATTTTTAAAAGTATGAAATAAAAATAGGGTTACAAAACAGTTCTTACTTAAGAGTGATATTTATGAGTTTTTTGTAGCTTTACAAAAAGCCTTTGTAGGATTTAAGATTAACATGAGATTGAGTTAAAACTCCAGCAACACTGGCCTATGGCTGGCTTGGAACCAACTTCCCAGTTAGTTAAGGGGGATGGAGAGACAGTTTGTACATATGCTTGATTACGGAGTTATTAAGAATAGCAAAGTCGCTAATACAGATCCCTTCTTAACACAATCATACATTGTGGCATTTCCAATAGCACCTATTTTTCTGTGCATAGTTTTAATATAAAAAAGGAACTTATCCTGCTCTTGTTGGTTTAGCAGAATCTCATTAATGCTACTAAGGTAGACAATTAGGCTGTGTTCACATCATACAATGAACTACGAACTAGCCAACTATGGTGTAGGCTAGCATAATTTAGGAACTTGTCCATATGATTTTAATGGTTTCAGGTTAAAAAAAAATCTATCCAACTGGGCTATCTGAGTGAACTAGGATTCAGTTAACTGTGGGATAACATTTTATGTGAACAAAAGATATCCTTATTGGCTAGTCTACAGAATAATTATTTCACAGTTTGGTGATACTGCTAACAGTAAAATCTCTAAATAACAAGTCATAAAATTCAACAAGATACAATAACAACCTACTCTTATCATTTGATCTGCTTTTTGAAAGTAGAAAACTGAATTTCTATTGATTCCAATAATAGCTGTGAGCCACGTAGTTCTGGAAAACAGACTGGACTCAATCCATAGTAAAAGTATATAGCAATTTTTGTAAACTAAGGAGGACCAGATAATTATTTTAAATTGACAAAGAATAAAATTTGATAGCCATTGATCTGCAAGAACATTAACCTTAACCCCATCAGCTCCTACATATAGCAATAACATAAATCAAAACAGATCATATATTGCACACATCAGCCACTGAATGAAAAAAAAAACCTGGAGTGTAAAATGCAGTATTATCCTACTACCTGTATGGCATCTTTTATGGTATATAAGCATGTGATTTTGTGTAAATCTTGCTCCACAATCATTGCAAACAAATGGTTTTTCACCTGTGTGGATTCTGAAATAAGAAAAGAACAACACAAATCAAGACAAGTATTATACTTGCTCCTCAGCATCACTGAGACATAACCAGTGAATAGCAATCAATGGCATTTACTGGGATCTCTTAAGATTTCCAGTCCAGAATGTGGATACTGACTGGGAAATGTAATACCTAGCAGATCACTTGTGCATGTTTCGACGAAGTCACATTCGTCATCTTTAGGCTGGTGTCTTCAGCTTCGTGCTTCTGAGAGTGGTGTGTGATCGCAGCTGTTTCTTCCTTTTAACTGCCAGTGGGGTTGGAGCTGATTGGGTGGGAGCTTGGCTGTGTTCTGATTGGGTGGAGGTGTGTTCTGATTGGTTAAGGAGCCTGGCTGTGCTCTGATTGGCTGGGGGGTTCGCTGTGCTCTGATTGGCTGGGGGAGTGTTCTGTTTGGGTGGGAGCTTTGTTGTGCTCAGGTTAGTTTGAGTTGCAGGGGGATTTGAGATGGTGAGCTTCATTGCACGAAGCTGAAGACACCAGCCTGAAGATGACGAATGTGACTTCGTCAAAACGTCGCCAAGGTACTTTTAATTCTACGCGGGAGAAAACCCGAATAACTAAAGACCTACATACAAACACCCGCGAAAACCTCAGAAAACATATATATATATATATACACTTTTTCAGTTGAATGGCAGAGTGAGATGACCTTTCATATTAAAAAAGACTTTTTTAAACAAAATTCAGAGAATAAAAGTCTAGGCATAAGTCTAGGGATACTTCCTCTCAAAAGAGAGAAATCAAAAATAATTATTAAAACTGACAGGAGAACAGTCTAGTTAAAATATATTTTCTTAAAATCAAAAGCAACAGTGATCTAAATTAACCTGCAGTAAAAAATAACAAATATGATTAAAATTTAACTTGAGAAATAAATCACAACTAAAATGCCTTACCTTTCCCATTAATAAGTCCTTTTGCATTTAGTACAGCAAATACTGCACGTTTCAGTTTTCAAAAGCTGAGAAAAATTATTCATCTAGAGAAGCTATCTAGCAATTGCATTTTGATCTCCTTCAATAAAAATACTAGTACATGTGGACATTAGTCATCTCCTGTCTTGAGTCCAGGCAATATTTCATACTCTGCCCTTAAAATAACAATTTATTCCTGAATCAAGTAGCGTGAAGGACCAAAATGTCCCTATGATCTCGTAATCAGATTTTACCACAAATATCTGCTTTAGGAAATGAGGTTATGGTATCCAAACCCCATTAAATTCTCACTCCTATATTACAAGGGTTGAATAAAAAGCAAGACTTCCAATGTTGCGTAAATTGTTAACAGATGGCAATAATATTAGTGTACTAGAAGTTAGGTATTTCCTTCATTTTATAAAATGGAAGCCTGCTGAGAGTACTTGTCGTTGTGCTTTAAACCCTGTGATTGAAGTTTTGATTGCCAAATGAGTCCCTCCAACTGAAATTCACAATAAATGTAGATTGTTTGGGGGGATTACTGCATTGATATGACTACTCTGCATCAGTGAGTCAAAAAAGGTACAGATGGTGAACTGGGAAAGGCTGATTTGTATCATCAAGAACGTAGATAACCAACGAGAGAAACTAATGAGTCTCACATGAGAAAGGTTGGTAAACAGATAAAAGAGATTTGGTGAATCAGTCAAAGGGAAACAACCATAGGTAGCATTTTAACAGGAATGTGTGAGTCACATTACTGATATACTTCAATATATCAGTAAGGTGACCCACATTGCATGCTGATAGCAAAGACAAAAGCTTTCAAGGGTTGAAATATGCCACCAATCATTGTCATATTATAAGAATGAAGATAAGATAAAAATTCTCCACTGCATTGTGAGAGCCACTGAAATATGGGTTCATCAATATGATTCAGAAATGAAACAGCGGTCCGTGGAATATCATTACAAAACTCCACCTTGAAAAAAAAAAATGTGGTCTTATTTATGTGAATTTCCTTGAACCTAGTACCATTATTGACTCAAAATGCCTGAAAAAAACCCCCAATTAAAACAGTTTGGAAGCACAAGGAGATATGGGATGCAACTCTGTAGTCATGAACCCCTAGGCCTCACCCATGGGCCACCCAAGAGACAATAGCAAAGCTTGATCTCACTGTATTAGCCCATCTGCAATATAGTCCAGACTTGGAATAATGCAACTTCCACCTTTTTCCATAATCGAAAGGATAGCTTCATAGGCATCTCTCTAACTCAAATGAAGAGGTGGGAAAGACTATTAGAACTAGGCCAAAGAAACCATTTTTTGTGACAGACTTAAGCTTGTCCATCATTGGCAACAGTGTGTAGTAAATGCTAGTGATTATGTGGAGAAGTAAACACAGGTCATCTCAAGGATGATTTCCCTGTTTCATGTATTCAAATATTCACACTGATCACTAAAATTACAGAGGTGCTTATTTTTCATTCAACCCTTGTATATCCAAATTTCTTCTCTATTTCCAAGAATAATCAGAATCTTATCTCAGATGATTCACAGGCTAGGATCAGCAGCAGTTTGTCTGGTATAAAATATAAAAACAACAATCTCTGAAGCAGCTTTCTCCAATGCTATGCCTCCCAGATGTATTGGACCTCAGGTCCTGTAATTCTTAATCAGCATGGATGTCAATTGTATCGGCTGGGGGATTATGGAAGTTATAGCTCAACATTATAGGGGCTAAACTCAGGTTGCCCTTTAGGTTACCAAGTAGATCTGCCTTGTTCCCACCTTCTATATACAGGTAGTCTTCGACTTACAACCACAATTGTGCCCAAAATTTCTGCTGCTAAGCAAGACAGTTGCTAAGTTGAGTTTTGTCCCCTTTTTCAGCCTTTCTTGGCAGAGTTGTTAAGTGAATCACTGCAGTGGTTAAGTTAGTGATACGGTTCTTAAGTGAATCTGGCTTTCCCCATTGACTTTGCTTGTCAGGTCACAAAAGGTGATCGCATGATCCCGGGACACTGCAACCGTCATAAATAACTGCCAGTTGCTAAGTGTCCAAATTTTGATCATGTTGTGATGGTTGTTAAGTGTAAAAAATGATTGTAAATCACTTTTTTCAGTGCCGTTGTAGCTTCAAACAATCACTAAATGAATGGTTGTAAGTCGAGAATTACCTGTATTCCTAGATCTGAAAGTGGTTGGCGTATACATCTTTGCCGAGGTGCTTAGTCACAGTATCCCAGCCAGGAAGCCATGGAAAAAGCAATTCAGCCATCGTCCTAAATCCTTGCTTAGCTAAGTACACGTAGCTTTCTCCTAAGCACATCTAACATCCAGTGGTGGGATTCAGCCGGTTCACACCACTTCGGCAGAATTGGTGGCTAATTTTTTGTTGCCCAGGCCCAGAATGGACTTCCGGAAGCGGCATCCATAGAGAACCGGTTGTTCACATATCTGACTCCCACCACTAATAACATCCCTACCCAACTCTTTCTAATTGCAGACTAACCGTTTCATAAGGTAAGCACAGCTGCCTATTTCATTCAAACATAGTGTTTTGCATTATGATTACCTTCGTCAAATTCGTAACCAATGGTTTGAAGCTGAAATGTTTTGAAATTAGACTTCACCCATAATTCCCAGTTTTGAGCAAAACAATAAATCAGGATCAGTCCATACTAAACAGATTCTGAATCTCTCCTCAGTCAATGTAGAGATAGCTAGGTAGGGACTATGACTAGCCAAAAAGGCTATGTTAATTTATGCCACGCTAAACGACAGCTTAGTCTAGTCTCCAAATATGATGAAAGTTTTGCATATCCTTTATGTATTATGTTACTTGCCTGGCTATGACTGGAAAGGACCATACAATCAAGCATAGGCAGAAATATCTCTGTCTTAAGGACAATCCAATTTCAAGTTCTTGTCTTACCGAGGAAATGTCACTTCTATTCCCTCTAAGTAATATTAGAAACATACTCTGATTTCTTTTCATGCCTTTTTTCATTAAGAAATTTCTTTCCAGAAGAAAAGAAATCTAGCCAAAATTAGAAATGTTCAGTCGGGACCCTCAAACTTCCACTGAGACAATCTATCTGCTTGGGACATATAGCCAGCTAAAGGAAGTCTGCTCTGTGAATGTTTCATAGGGTAAAACTGACCGCCAACACCACCGGTTACCTCAAAAATCCTGTCAAAACAAGTGGGTGAAGAAACGGTAGTTCTTTCTGGCAGTTCCAGTTCTACCTCATCTGGAGAGCACCAGAATGAGAAGGCTGGCTGAGAAGACTGTAATCCCCCTGACAGTTAATTCAAATTATTACCTAGATAAGGTTTAATGGTATGAACTGGGTTTTCAGACACGTGACAACCTGCTACAATTCTCCTTCTTCACTTTTACACAGTATTGTATTTTAGCCCAGTCAGCCTGTGACTGGAAAGTTGTCGTCATTCCCACAAACGTGAGCAGGCTAATAATCAGGACTCTAAATGTTCTTGTTTAGTTGCTCAGCTAAGGCTTACATTTATCCTGACGTACATTATGGTGACTCAAGAGCATTTTAGATTATTATGGCTGTGATCTGCCGTTTCAAAGGAAAAACGCCTATTGCTGAACCCCGCTAGAGAGGAGCTCCAGCCTATTTTTAACTTTCTTGCCCAGGAAGAAACTGCCTCAGGGAGGGCATTAGCTTTTCGCCCGGAGATTTAGCTTACAAGGCCCGTTCCATCTGTTCATACCTCATGTGTGTTTTAAGTGCCGAAGGCTGAGAAAACTTAGCCTCACACTCTGTGCACCCATAAGGCTTGTCGCCTGTGTGTGTCCTTTCATGAAGCCTCAGGGCCGTTTTGGAGCTCAAACCCTTTCCACATTGTAGGCAGTGATGACGCTCCCCACCACCCTCATGAACCTGCAGAATGTGCCGCTTGACGTCCTTCTTGCGCTTGAACTTCTTACCACAGAGCTCGCATGGGAAGTGGCGCTCGCTGCTGTGGACGTGGCGCTGGTGGCTTTTGAGGTTGCACCGGTTGGCAAAAGTCTGGCCGCAGGTTTCGCAACGGTAAATGATTTCAGCTGCAATTCCATGGCTCTGCTTGATGTGTTTCAGAAAGCTCTTCTCATAGAGGAATTCTCGCTCACAAGTACTGCAAGTAAAGTTGCCACTGCGGTTCTTTTTATCCTCCTCCAATTTAGTCAGGTTTTCTGCCCGGTGGTCCTCAGCACCATCAAACCCTTTCTCCTCTAGTTTCACGCTGTTCACCGCTTGGTCGGTCAACTCCTCCCCGCCCTTTTCACGGGTGCCTTGGTCTTCGGAAAGCCGGCTCTCTTCCTCGACAGCTTCGGCAAACTTCTGCTGCTCTCGCAGGCGCCTTGTGTACTTCTTCTTGGGTATCTCCACAAAGACTTTTCTGCCGGCCAATCTGCCACTCGCCCGCCTGATTTTGGCACAGGGGGCCTTCAGGGCTTCCTTTTTTTTGCCCAACTTTTCCTTTAATTTCAGGGTGGGGGACTCGACGTCCGATCCAGTCCTGGGTCTCCTGAGGGCAGAACTTGCAAAATAATCCACGCCGTCGCCTGGTGATTCAGTGACTGTTTTGGGCTCGGTTAAAGTGCTAGGACGGGCCCCACCATCCTCATCGGTATCCTGCGACTCAGAGAAATTTTGCAGCTCCAGCAAGACCGATTCAAGCATTTGCTTTTTTAGCTGAAAGCAGGTCTCTGACAAGTCTAAACATTTCAGCTTCTCAGCCACTTCCAGCATGCGCTGCACCCGATCTTCTTCCACCTCTACCCGGGCAGTATAAACAAACTCCAGAAAAGATGCAAAGTCTGCTACCTGGACTTCATTCAGTAACACATTAGTCCTTGGTCCATCCATGCCTTTTTCATTAAGGAAGACCTCCTTAAAGAACTTGCTTGTGGCTGCCAGCACAGCTTTGTGAGCAACAAACTCGGCCCGGACACCTTGGTATTCTACACTCACGGTGACATCACAGAGGTGGCCTAGGAGACGCAGCTGGTGCATTTCGTTCAGAAGGTTGATTGGTGAGGATTTGGATTCCAGAAGGACAGCATTACTTTCCATCTTCTTCCTTTCTAAAAATACATTATTACATGTTAATAGTCTGCCCCACAAACAAAATCAAAGACCCCAAAGTAATGTTCTTCTAACTAGTTGGAAGAAGGAAATAAATCTGTAAAATCTACAAAATCCAGTTATGACTCTCCCAATCAATGAATGGTATAACAATTTCCTTACATAAGTTTAAAATAAGATAAGCTGCCTGTGATTTGCAACTGTATCTCCCTAAGTTGCTTGGAATATACAAGTAGTCCTTGTTTAGTAGTCACAATTGGGAGCAGCAACTCAATCATTAAGCAAATTGATCGCTAAATAAAACTGCAACTCTGCTTATGATCTTACTTCAGTTTTCCTTTGCTTTACAGACCTGTAAAGGTCGCAATTGCAGGAAATGGACTTAAAGTTACTTTTACATCACTGCTGTAACTATGAATGGTTGCTAAATGAGACAGCCTAAATGAGGACTACCTATATAAACAGCAAGAGAGGAGAAGTTATTTTCTATTGGACTTTGTTTTACAGTGCCCTCATGCTTTTCTGCCACTAGGAGCTCAGAGCAGAAAAAGAGATTAAAAAAGCATTCCTGAGTAGGATGGCATCCCAAGAAATCTGAGTTTTTTCATTCACATATACCTACAACAGGAAGGATGAGAAAAATATGTAGACAACAAATTTATTAATTAAATACTTGCAACGAGAGGCAAAACTGCTTAGTTCAGATCACTAATGATACAAGAATCTGGGGTTGGGAAGTAGGGTTCATGGCCTCTTTGAAGCAAAGCTCAACTAATTGAAGTTCATTGACATCCTTTCCCTTCTTCTCAGCCCCACTGAAAGTCCTGTTAAATGCTTATTTTATTTAGAATAACACAGCATTCTGCACTTTCCATATACAGCTTTCTTACAATTTTCAATTCATTGATGTACACAGCCCATCCATCCAGTTCTCTCCATCTTGACAGTCTTCCTGAACTGTTTTAACATTCACATCTCAGATCTCTTCATTTGGAAGTTGGAAAGAAGAGTTAATCACAGTTAACCATCCAACTTGGATTGAGATGACATACAGACTTATGGCTAAGAAAAGTAAACCTACAACAAATTAGCACTTTAACCAGAGTTTAATTCATAGTGACTTTGGATAACCTGCCCATCTGATAGCCATGGGCTTATGGTATCACGTAAACTCAGTTCAAGGACTGGAGTCCACACTTGCTTGTTTTTCTCACCTTTTTTCCTTTCACACGATCTCATTTATATTATAAACTAACATGAGCCTATACAAGCTGTTCTGAAATCTTTTCTGACTGAGGAGGGTAAAAAGCACCCGGCTCTATTATTTCCTAACATGTATTTATTTACTTCTAAGTATATATTTATTTACTTCTATATATTTACTTCTAAGTAAAATAATTCACACTTTTTTTTATTCTGACACTCATGCTTTGAATCTCTTTGTCGCAATCTACCTTTTATAGGCTTTGTGTGTCTGAAACTTCAGTTTTCCTTATGACCCTGATGTAAGGCTTGAGTTGTTCATCCTGCTTAGGCAAATACAAGTGAAATGAAATATGTGACAAGGTATATACAGGGGTTCAGAAGATCTGACAGAAAAAGGCACATAGGCATCTGGTTCCCCCCCTCCCAGTTTTATTCACTGAGAGACAAGAAGCAGCCAAGTTTTATTAAAACAATCAAGCAATTTCACTCTCCCAACTCCAAGCGCAGCTGTTTGGCATTTTTTTTTTGCTAACAAATCTGCCCAGAGCTTATTACAAAAGTATCAAATGAGCATTTTTTTTAATGATCTCCAACTTCTAGTTCAAAGCCATTTTAAGCACAAACTGCTTAGAATTCTTATTATCGTTTTAAAAACAACCCACCTCCATATATATATAATGTGTGTGTGTGTGTGTGTGTGTGTGTGTGTGTGTGTTTTTCAAAATTTGGATTGCTAACAAAGAATTAAGGGAGTACTGGGGATAGCTATTTCAAACTTTATTTAGTTTTCATCAGCCAGACATACCCTTCTGAGATTCGAACCTGGGCTGTCTGCATGTTAGGCAGATGTGTTAGCCCCTAGGCCACAGGCTCTTTCTCACTTTGCTAGCTACAAGAGACAGGGGAAGAGGATGAATGCTTTTTTACTTTGATGCACCCCGTCGGCCCAAATATGGGAGAGAGAAGTCTTTTGCCTGTATCAGCTCAATCTAGAGCCATCCACAGGGACTTCTCTCTCCCATATTTGGGCCGACAGGGTGCATCAAAGTAAAAAAGCATTCGTGTCTCTGTGTGTATATATATACACACACACATACACACTTTTCTCTCAGCTGAACTTTACCCGATTTCCTCTCATTTTGTCTGCTGCCCTCCCGGACCACTCTGTACAAATTTTAATTCACCTGCTCTAACTCGATGCCCCCCCCCAACAGATATGGGACTACAAGCCCTATTTCACCCTAGGTCAGTGTTTCTCAACCTTGGCAATTTTAAGGCATGTGGACTTCAACTCCCAGAATTCCACAGCCAGCATTGCTGGCTGTGGAATTCTGGGAGTTGAAGTCCACATGCCTTAAAATTGCCAAGGTTGAGAAACACTGCCCTAGGTAGCACCACCAACGGCGAAGGGGAACTGGAAATGGTCAGAAACCCACTTGGGAGACACCAAGGCTGTTTTAAAGGGGGGGGGACCGTTTGAGATCTGCTTTTTTTTTTTCTTTCTCTTTTTGTCCAACGCGTTGACGTTACGCCATGAATTACTCCCCATCTTTACTGAGCTAAGCTACGAATCCATTTTCGTCCCCGGTTCCGCACCGCGATTGTTTCTGGAGGAGACCCACAAACCTTCCCCCCCCCCCGGGAGAAGGAGAATGAAAACAATAGTGGCACCACTTTGTCTCGCTTCGTTTCCTCCACCCACCCCCCCTTTATAAGGGCAGGCCTGCTTCTTCAGCCGCCCTCCCCCTCCCCACTCCGGCCGACCTGCCATCGAAGCGCTGCAGACCGGCCATGCCCCTCCCCATTCGACTCCCGCCCCCCCCCTCATCCCACTCACCGGGCAGCCCCGCAGCTGGGCAGCCTCAGGGCAGGATGGCCCCTCCCCTCCCGTCACGCTTCCACATCCGGTAACGGCTGCCCCTCCGCCCCTTCCTCCCGATGACGTCACAGCATACCTATGGCGTTCGTTGCCAGGAGAAGGCGGGAGGGGGAGGAGTCAGATTTCGTTAGGACTTCCGCCGTGCTCCTATGGAGCGGGTTGGCCGCTCTATTGTCCTACCTAAACAGAGAAAGGCCTTTCACCATAGAGACATCTAGGGCTAGGAAAGGCGAGCCTCTTCGCGCTTAGCAAAAGTCCCGGTTGTCGAATCTCTTTCTCGAGCGTTTTTCTCGCGATGTTTTGAGATTGCTCGACTGTCTTATTCGCTTGGTTATCCCCGCTTTTGGATTCCCACAGTCACAGCTGCATTCACTGATCTACTAGACCAGGGGTAGGCAACCTCGGCTCTTTTATGACTCATGGACTTCAACTCCCAGAATTCCTGAGTCAGCTATGCTGACTCAGGAATTCTGGGAGTTGAAGTCCATGAGTCATAAAAGAGCCGAGGTTGCCTACCCCTGTACTAGACTGTTAACAAACATCTGCAGGAAGAAAAGCAAGAGTAGAGAAGGTGGATTCAACAATTTCACCTGGAGCTATGTATGTTTTCTACTGTTGCATATAAGTTTGCAATTTTGTTATGTACAGGTAAACGTTAGCAAATAAATATAGCAAAGGTGGTGGATTTGCCTTTATTGTTTATTCTGAAGCAAACATGTCTTCAAATGAGTAGTAAAACTTTAGCATCTACATTTTTATTTAATATGCATTTACGTCTAAGCACAGTACAAGACTCCTCCCCCTTTTTCAAAATGCTTCTTTTAAAGAGAGTTTTACTTATTATTATTTATTGCATTTCTATAGCATCCAAATAATATATTCTTGAGAGTGTGTACAAGACCATATTAGGTAGTGGTATCTGGACAAGAATTTCTAATAAAGATTCTCTCTCCAAAACTGGTTGATTATCACTCAGGCAGATGAATCACTTACTATCCCTAGCAGCCTCCTATCTGGTATGTTAACAAGCATACTGCTGATTGCCTATACAATATTTTCCAGTGCCAATCTAACAGTTTTCCTGCAGTTCCTGGAATGGAGATTGAACACCAATATTCCGTGGCATTCTATGAATGTCAAGATCCTGCCTTTTCTTTTCACATCAAAATCCTCACTTCAACTATGATTTTTCTTTGCTTTATATCCTATTCTTTGTATTCTCAGATGATTTGTAACGACATAAAGAGGTCTTGAGACCAAAGGGTTTGAAATTTGCTGCTCTAAAAGTTACATTCACCAGCAGATGACAAATGTCTTGTTTTATGCTTATTGAAATTCTTCAGACGCAGGTGACCAGATTCTACTAGGAATTGAACTCCGAGATCTTCACACTCTAAACTACACAAAGTTCATTAGCTTTAGAGGCTGGTCCTTGTTTTCAACAGTTGCAGGAAGGGATATCTTGAAACAATACCAGAATGTATACCCAATCAACATTCCCCAAGCTCTCAAAGAAGACATATAACACCATGTTCCCATGTACAATATTTTACATGAATTCCACACATCCCTCTTGGTGGAGGTGGGCATTCTGTATTTTTACACATTTATGTTTATTACCCTTTTCAACTTTGGCCATATCTTTCCTTTTAAAACAAGGATGAACGCTCTCTGACCTGTACATGGCCATCAGTATGGCCCATAGTGGTTTGATCGCAGGCAACCTGATAGAATTTGCTTATTATGTCTGCCTAGTCCTTAAAAGCTGTTTAAAACATCAGCATTTTAAGTTAAGAGAAAGAGCACATTTAGAAACCATTCCATATCAGAATCCAAGTGTAGAGATAGGGGCCAGGTAGAGGTCGTGAGCAGCAAACTGCCCTTCCAATGCCTGCGTGCCTCTTCTCTCTACATGATCTCATCCATTCACATCACCATGGCAATGTGGGAAACTACCCCAGGCTGGTACATGATATCACCTGGTTCACATGATATCAGCTAGGTTACATCAACAGGATGTGGTAGAAAACTGCTCCCTGTTTGTGGCCTCCTAGCTGGTATATTCTTAAGGATTGGCAAGGGGTTTCACCAATAGAATTGCTGTTGCTATGCTGATGCCATCTTACTTTATGCTATTTGGAATACCTGTATAAAAGGCAATAAACACTGCGAAAGCTGTCAGCCATATTTGCACCCTGCAATGACTGAGCACTTATTACTACATCCAAGCTGATGCCATGTCTGTTTGTAGATTCTACAAGCATTTGGAGAATCTTCCTATACAAGGGAAAAAAATTGAAACAATATGAGAAGTTTATATGCACATTGAACTTTAATTGTTGATAGTTATAAATGCATAAGGGTAGGTTCAGATTCTTTCACGTTAGTACTGCTTGGTATCTGTTCTACTTTTTTTACATTTGTGTTTTCTGATGTGTGGCATTTTTCTTGGCAATCGGACCAAACTGTAGTAGAATTCTCTTGCATACAAATAGTAGGCAAAGTCTCTATTTTGGACCAGTTATGATCCTTTTTGATAGTAAGATCTATTAAGAAACTTCTCCAATGAGCATTCCGATCATGGACCTATGACAGAAGGGAAAAAAATACTTTACTATTCAAGGTCTCATTTGGCTTGTGAAACATAAAAATGTATTTTCAAAAACCCTCTATAAATAGGGTTATTAACTTTTAAAAAATGAAATCTGGATCAGTTTCTTATTTATTAGTTTATTGATTTTTTTAAAATAAAGCATTCGCAGTTCAGTGACTTGAGACCTTAACATTCTTTATTTAGCCACAATAAGACAAGTATATTATCCTTCCTACAGAGTTTTCTCTCCTATATTGAAGAATCTAGCAATCTTTAAGATATGTGGACCAAATCCTAGAATTCCCCAGACAGCATGCTGTCTGGTAAATTCTGGGAGTTGAAGTTCATACCTCTTAAAGTTGCCAAATTTGAAAAACATTGATCTAATCCAGGGGTAGGCAACCTTGGCTTTTTTATGACTCGTGGACTTCAACTCCCAGAATTCCTGAGCCAGCATGGCTGGCTCAGGAATTCTGGGAGTTGAAGTCCACGAGTCATAAAAGAGCCAAGGTTGCCTACCCCTGATCTAACCCAAGGTAACTTCAAAATTGCTTTGAAACCACACACCATGTGAGTGTTGCTGGCCCTTCAGCTTCCCAAAGTTGTGTAACCCTTGTGCATTACAGAGTTGCATTATAAGGAAACAGGGCAGAAATCACAGGGCTTTGTCAATTTTCTCTGCCCGTGCAGAGGTGCTTTCGCCTCCCTACCCCAGTAGCTGTACCACAATGCACAAAGTGACAGAAGAATGAAAGATGACTGCAGTGTCATGCACGGCTTAAAAAAAAACCCTCAGCGAGAGAACTTCTTTTAATGATCTCAGGACATAAACCGATCTCTATTCCTGCAGAAAAAAGCTATAGCACAAACCACTGAACATACCAATACATGCCTCCTCAGGGTAGACATATCTGTGAAGGTTCTCTCGCAAGCCCTGCATTTATACGGCTTTTCTCCAGAGTGAATACGTTGGTGACGTCTTAGGGCTCCTTGCTGAGTAAACGTCTTTCCACACTGCTCACAGAAATAAGGAGGAGTCTCTGGGAAGAGAATGAATGTGAAGAAACAAACCAGCGTTAGTTTATTTCCAATTCCAATGTCACTTTTAAAAACATAAGTCTATCTTGCTTTCTGACTTTTGTGACCTGCAGAGGTGAAGACTGGCTACAGTAGATCACGCCTGCATAGGTATTGAACTGGCAGAGCACTTAGCAATAGCACTTAGACTTACATACTCCTTCATAATGCTTTAACAGCCCTCTCTAAGCGGTTTACAGAGTCAGCCTACTGCCCCCAACAATCTGGGTCCTCATTTTACCGACCTCGGAAGGATGGAAGGCTGAGTCAACCTTGAGTTGGTCAGGATCGAACTGCTGGCAGTCGGCAGAGCCAGCCTGCAATACTGCATTCTAGGCCCTGTGCCACCACGGCTCTATATAGATGCCTAGATGTTTGGCTTACAAGCTAAATTATTTTAAGTGCAATTAATGAACAGAAGGACATTATTTTTAAAACAAACAGGAAAACTATGGGGATCCTAGTTTCCTTTACAGGATGCATGTATAGGAATTACGGTAATTGTGAACACCAAATCCCAGAAACCTGCTTTGCATTTGCATCTCTCCAATAGACCATTTGTTCCCTACCTGCATGAACATTACTATGTTGGGCTAATGAAGCTCTCAATCCAAAGGTTTTCCCACACACATCACACTTGTATGGCTTAGCTCCCATGTGACAACGCTTGTGACATTTTAAATATTCATTGGTAGCAAAATGTTTCCCACATACATCACATCTGAAGAGGCGTTCTCCTGTAAAGGAAATACATGCATACATACTAATGTATCTGCTGTAGCCATCACTATATTCTCTTTTATGGTAAGCAATGTTACACAGAGGACAGAAAAGGGATAATGAATGAATATTTCCGCTCCAGTGCAGGATGATCCAAGTTGAAGATCCCACCCCCATTGGAGATTTTCCAAAATAATGTTTTCTCGAGCTTTTCTTAATATACTTCTCTTTTCCTTCCCTGTAACTATTAAAAACCTTTCAGGAATTTTACTGTTTGTAATACTGAACAGTATTATGTGAAGCCATGAAGAATCTGAGATTCTGTCAGTTTGCTGTATCCTAATTCCCACATGCCCAAGGGCTTATTTGTAACATTACATACTTGCATATTATACAAGAACAAGTTGTCGTTGACGTACAACTGATCACTTGGCAAGCCATTTGAAACTATGACAGGCCCTGATAAAGGCACTTATGATACAGATGTGAAGTTCCGATGGTCTGCCCCTCCCCCCATGGTTACGGGATTGCATTTTGGGTTTTTGAGAACTAGCATGCATTTATAGCTGTTTGCAGCACCCCACAGTCACATGACTGCAATTTACAACATTTTTGGCCAGAAATCAGAGTTTACTTCCAGTTTCCAGCAATGCCCATTATGCGCCATGGATTTAACACCATGAAAAAAAAAAGATGCAGTCACATAATGACCTGCTTAATGACTGGCATGACGTAAAACTGTAAGTCAAGGACTATCAGTAGTTCTCACTTAGCAGCCATAATTGGGACTGGCAACTCTATTGCTAAGCACCATAGTCATTCAATGAAACACCATACAACCATGATAGGCTTATATCCTCACTTCCCCTTCAGCTGTTAAGCAAATCGCCATGGTTGTTAAACAAAACATTACAAGACCACAAGTTACAATTTTACACAAGCCAGTTGCGAAGGGTCCAAATAGCAGTACCATGATGGGACACTGCAATGGTCATAAATGTGAGGATTGGTTGCAAAGCTTATTTTTTTTATACCGTGTAATTAAAAATGGTCACTAAACGAGGGCTGTCAGTAACCAAGGACTACCTGCACTCTTGTTTCTTTTTCTTCTATTACACTGAATAACTGTCATCTGACAGCCATTTTTTTTTTTTTTTGCAAATAATCCCTTCTGTAAAACGAACGTATGAATGGACGGAGGCAGTTTACGTTTACCCCTTCACTTCTCCTAAAATTCTGCAAAAAAGGAAAGGTGACATTCAGGGGAAGAGTTAAGCATTCCTTTTCTCCTGAAGGATCTCTGCGAGGCAGAAGGTTGTTGGACTAACACAGGGTTAGGCAACCTTGGCTCTTTTATGACTCGTGGACTTCAGCTCCCAGAATTCCTGAGCCAGCCATGCTGAGGAGAAAGGGAGAGGTTTCCATGCTGAGCCATGCTGGCTCAGGAATTCTGGGATTTGAAGTCCACGAGTCATAAAAGAGCCAAGGTTGCCTACTCCTGGAACAGTAGGCAAAGTTACAATGTAACAGCTTGATCTTGCAGAATGCATGGGCAACCTCCAACATTTGCCTACGTTATATGTAGATTTTTGGAACTGTAGGGAACCTTGTCATGATCAGCCACTGGGCAAAAAAAAAAAAAAGGCTTTCCAGTGAATAACTGATCCCTGTTTTCCCACTGCTACAAGCAGTAGGAAACAGGAGCATGTGCACCCATGTGCAATCAGACCTAGGCTGTTCTCTATGTGACTATCAGAGAACAGGTTGAATTGTTGGAATCAAGATACCTTACTATTGATTTTCTTCTCATTAAAAAAAACAAATCTGATCTCTCTTCTTTGTAAGTAAATGTGACCTTTTGTCAGGTTCAGGAAATTAATTTAAGCCTTACCTGTATGTGTCCTCTTATGACCATTAAGTTTGCCTTTATCAGCAAAAGACGCCCCACAGTCCTCACAGATGTATGGCTTTTCACCTGTGTGCGACCTGCGTTCAGAGGAATATGGAAATACTGTCAAAAGGTATTTAAAACCAAATGTTGTTTTGCAAACTTTGCAAGATGTTCATCAAGACCAGGGGTCTTCAAACTTGGCCCTTTTATGACTTGTGGACTTCAACACCCAGGATTCCTCAGCCAGGCACGCTGGCTGAGGAATTCTGGGAATTGAAGTCCACAAGTCATAAAAGGGCCAAGTTTGAAGACCCCTGATCATGATCTTATACTACAAACAAAAAGTATGCAAGAAAGCAACTTACTACAAAGAAGCTGCCTCCACTTAATGATTTGGACAAAATGATTTCCAGGGTTGTTGTTTTTTTAGAGGCATACAACATTTAAGGGCCAAGGACTTTTAAACTGATGTTTGGCAAACTTTGGGTAGAGCAAGCACACATACACACAGACACAAGAAGTTGATTTCATTCCATTTTAACTTATACTAAATTAAAGAAAAACTGTATTTTATTGTATAAAATATAACAGAATTCTAACTAAATCCATAGAGTTTATTTCATTGTTCTCTATGTATTTAATAATTTAGCCCTCTATGGTATTAAAAATTACAATTAGGCAGTAACTTTGCAGCGGCCAAATCCACGACTGCAGGAAGTATACCTCTTCATCACGTAACTCTCTTGACTAGGGCAAAATGAAGGGAGATGCAATGCTGGAGTTGAAATCCTCGCCTGATAAAATAAATATTTCTTATTTTTCTACATGTTTAAGAGCTCATGAAAAGTATCAAAGAGAGAGAAAAAAAATCACCAATTCAAGAAAATAGTATTCTATTAAAATAGGGGGAAAGAACTGGTGTCCTGGTTCAGATTCAATATAATAAGGGCTGAGCCTAGGGCTATGTGCAAGAAGCGTATCTTTTTTTTTATTATTATTAAAAGTTTTTTTTAAAAAATTACAATATATATCCCCCCTCCCTCCCCACCTCCCAGAGCTGATTACAGGGTACAAATAAACAATAACATAATCTAAATAACATTACCCAACTATATTAACAGTTAAATCCATAACATACTTTAACTCCCTTTCAAAATAAGTATTAACCCATTAACAACCAAAATAATAATATACCTAATTAACAACCAAAATAATAATATAATTAAACCATAAAATTCAAAATAATATTCAACCCTATTAAACTACTAATAATAATCTTAAATTCACTCATAAACTAAATGATACTTTTCGATCTCCTAATTCATCTATAAGCGTATCTTAAGGCCCTGCCTTTAAAAGACAAAAGAAAAAAAAGAAATATTCAATTTATGTAACAAATAGGTATAAATATTTTAAAACAAAATTTGTCGGGAGAAGAAGGAAGAGATAGTAGAAGCTGACCTGGTATGAATCTTGAGCTGTGATGGCTGAGCAAATCTTGAGCTGCAAACGCCACACTGATATGGCTTCTCTCCTGTGTGGGTCCTCATGTGGAAGACAAGGGCCGTTCTGGAGCTCAGAATTTTCCCACAGACGGAGCAGAGGGGACGCTTCGCTTGACCCTCATGCTTCCGCACAGAGTGAGTCCTCACATCCCTCTTTCTTTTAAAAGTGGCATCGCACAGGGTGCAGGCAAACTTCCGGTCTTCTGTGTGAACGCAGGCTCGGTGCTCTTTCCAGCTGTTGTGACTTGCAAAGGATTTGCTGCAAACATCGCACTGATATACTTTCCCAGGCAAGGAGTGATGGATTTCTTTGCAGTGCATGACATATTTCCTCCGTGATGGAAACTTCTCGGTGCATTTGGTACAAGTTATGATGTAAGCAGGTGTTGGGATGGCCTTGTTTTTGTTAACTTGGCAATTTACGTCCTGTTTGCAGTCTTCTGTACCGTGGTCATTTGAGTCCTCATTGTGATTATCATCTGAAGAGAAGGCCTCCTTGTCTTTGTTGCTGTGTATGCCTGCTTCACAAACTCTTTCTCCATTTCCTTTCACATCCACAGTCCATTGCCTACAAGTGTCCCCTTTTTTAGTATTAGTTTTGGTACCTAGTTCCAGCTTCTTGTTTTTTTTGTCAGGTTGTGCTTCCTCTGGAAGAGATCTACCAGGTTCTTCCTCAGGATCCTGAGTAGCTTTGCCAAGTATTTCCCTTTGCAGATCATGATTTGGCACCTTGGGTTGTGTTTTGTTATTCCTATTGATTCTACTGTCTATCACATCTACTTTTTCTGCTGGTGGAACTATTGTCCAGTAAGCAGGCATGCATTTTTCATCTTTCTTGGATTCATGTATCTTTCTATTGGAGAAAAAATAATTTATAGATAGGAAAATGCAATGTTGAGTGTTACAGAAACTTTTAAAACCCGCTTGTACATAGTATCTCTCCAAATGAGAGCTATCAGCCTGATTTTACCCAATAACTTTGTTTGCAATAGTGGCGAATATCTATAGCTCGGGTGTAGGATGAGGGTGAAGGTTCGTTCTCCGAACTTGTGGGTTGGTTTCCAAATGTTTTATTACCAGGCTAGGTAACATTTTCAGTAGAGTTTAGGAGATGTCAGTGTCAGTGTTCTTCAAGGGCTTTGTGTGGGCAACAGGTCTTGTGATGGGTCAGGTGTGGGTGTGTCAAGTGAGGGTCTTATAATGGGTGTTGTAATGGGTCTTGTGATGGGTCAGGTGTGAGTCATCAGTGAGAGTCTTGTGATGGGGAGGTTACATCAGGTGAGGGTCATTGGGAGGTGAATTGCTGGTTGGGGGGGCTCACGTGGGTTGGTTGAGGGTCGGTGCTGTCTCTGGTTGGCTGTGTGGTTGATTTGGATTCTGACACCAAACAGCACCAGTTCAATTGGAGAACCCCAAAATCGGCCACGCTACCACCTGCCACACTCATGAGTTCGTCAAAGCCCGGCACTCCACAAGCAATTCCATCAACAGATATATTGACCTACAACCAGCCTACAAACCCCTCAGAATCCAGATCAATTACACAGCCAATCAGAGATAGTACTGACCCTGAACCAATCCACCCAAGTCCCCCCAACCAGCACGTCACCTCCCAGTGACTCTCACCTGATGTAAGCTCCCCATCACAAGATGCATCACAACACTCTCACTTGACACACCCACACCTGACCCATCACAAGACATACTGACCATACAAAGCCCTTATAAACAGAAGAAGAATGACATCCCCTAAACTTTGCTGAAGATGTTACCTAGCCTGGTAATGAAACATTCGGAAACCAACCCACAAGCTCGGAGAACGAACCTTCACTCTCAATAACTTTGTCCCAAGCGCCCAAATAAGGAGTTTCAAAAACTTTTGATTTAATGATTTAAGATTTACTTGCAGAAAGCTCAACTAAGAGAAGCTATAAGAATGTTTTAAAAAACAGACACGGGGACAGTCTTTTTTTCTCTATTTTTTATTTTTATTTTACTTTTGATGAAAGTGCTTTGCTACAATTTTTCATTAAGCCAGCTAATAAGATCAGCCTGGCACGGGAATGGTACTCAGTTGCTATGGAAACATAAGCTTTGCTGTAGTGAAGGTTACCGAGAGGGACTAAAGTGAGAGAGAAAAACAACAACAACCAGGCAGGGGTTTGTCTTTTTTATTCTTCTTAGGACTTCTTGTTTTATTGTATTAAAAATGAAGACAGAGATTAAATGGAGTAGATGAAGTTGTCCAGGACTGTAAAAAGAAATTGAAGGATTTTTTTTGAAAATAGTTTAAATAAAGGAACCGACAAGAGGATAGTTTGAGATGCCAGCAAAGCCTTGATTAGAGATTATTTGATATAATACAAACACTGTGGAACATGCACAGGTTGCATTAAGAAAGCAAAGCAAAGCATGCCATAGTTGGGCCTGTGTGGTATAATCACCAAAGTGGCCACCAAATTTTTTAAGGGGCAGCACTGAATTGTGGCCACTCATGGTAGTCACTTCCAGGATTGTGCTGCCTAATCCAGCAACAAAGTGGCTTGTTTTGCTTCCCAAATCCGAGCTCCAGAGATCTTCAAAAGGTAACTGTGTGACACTGGGTGAGGAGGAGAGTGTAGGGCCCAATGGGGAGAATGAGGAGGAATTACTACAGAAGCCAACATTTTGAGACTGGGTGGTAAATAACTTTAGGGGGGGGAGAGCGCTGTAACTATGAACAGTTGCAAAGTGACTGGTTGTAGTGTGGGAAGTCAGCCCCCACCAGAGAAGGAAATATTAAAAAGGGCAGAATATTATATTTCCTCAAAGGATCTTAAAAGGACAAAAAAGCATGCCCAGTTTTTCTTAATAGCCCCAAGTCTCCCTCCCCCATGCAAAAACCAGCTCTATAGAAATGCAGATATCATAATCCTTTCAGAAAGACTGGCACCTGGAAGCTTAGAGCTGATGGGATTAGAAAGACAAAGATCCCTAGAATCAACAATCCCTCACACCAAAAAATCCAATACAGGACATAGTCATCAGCCACACCCCCAGGGAAGAAGGATATGACCTTTGGGACATAATAGGATTAACCCACCACCATCAGAATACCAGAAAGCCACACTCAGACTCAAGTCAAAGTACATGACACAGGAAATACAAAGCCTCAAACAGGAAGAACTCCAAACAAAAGCTCAAGAAGGTATAAAACCCACCACTCCCTACTACATGTGGTCAGCTTTCCCAGAGCCATGCTTCTGTCTGGCTTTGCTCTTCAATAAACTACAACCTTCTTTCTAAAGCAGTCTCCATTTTGTTTATTCCCAGCTTGGACTGGACCCTGATGAAGATTTTTCTTTCAACAGTAGGTTGGGGATTAGTTGTATTTTATGTTCTAGCCTCAACGAGAACTTTTATAAAATGATATATCATTAGTATATAGAAACTTCTGGAATATATAAAAGTACTTTGCTGGAAATGTAAACACACTGAAAGGATACTTTACCATATTTAGTAGACACAGAAAAAGCTAAAAAAAAAATGGACATAATAAATACAGGCACTAATCCAGAAGGTTTTAAAGATTAAAGTACAACTGAAACCAGAGATTTTTCTTTTAGGACTGACTAATGGACAGGCAATTTGAAAAAAAAAAACCATGGAACTTTTGTTTTTATATAGGATACCTGCAGCAAGACTCTTATGTGCTCAGAAAAGGAAAAATTTGACATTACCCACAATGGAGTGGGTTGGTGAAGATGATAGAACTTGTAATGGCTAAATTAACTTATTTGATTAAAGAAAAAACAGTATCTGTATTTATGGCTGACTGGAAACTGCCTGTAGACTTTTTGCATGAAATAGAAAAAATGTGCTCATGATTTGTGGTTTTTATGATGAGAAAAAACTGGATAATAGAAAAATGAGTCTTATAAGAGCTAATATTATAATTCTACTTATATTTGCTGCAGAACAAAATGGAAGGTTTTTCTATTTCTTTTTACATTTTTTTTCTTTTCTCTTTCTTTCTTTGCTTCCTAATACTTTTCCTTACTTCCTTAGTCTTCTTATGAGTAGCTTTATTACTTTGGGTTAGTTTTTATGTTCTTTGTAAATTTTTAATAAAATGTATACCAAATCCCGCCCCCCACAGTAAACCAAACCCAAACCAGCTCCACTATGGCTGAGCATAATGTAGGAACTCTGCTACCAAATCAAAAGCTAAAAAGCTTGCAAGCCAACTTCTCTTTGCTACTGTTGTCTACTTTTTATGTATTTTAAAAAAAAAGGAATTTACCTTACGTGAGTATTAAAGGCTGACCTCTGAGCAAAACTGGCTGGACAGCACTGACATTTATAAGGCTTCTCTCCAGTGTGGGTTCGTATGTGAACTGTCAGGCCGCACCTGGAGCTGATGACTTTGTCACAGTAGGGGCACTGCTGCGGATGCTGCTTCTTTTCATGCACCCTGCGGATATGAGCACTGATATCCTTCTGGTCCTGAAACTTTTTGTCACACAGCAAACAAGGGAAAGTGCGCTCTCGGCTGTGGACAGTGACCCTGTGTTGCCTTAGACTGTGGCAATTGGGAAAGAGTTGGCTACAAATATTGCAGCTATCCTTAATTCCCAGGCTTGTGCTATGCTCCAGATCAGTATGTGATTGGTACTGCTCAGCAAAATGGAATAAATGATTATGCTTGTCACTGGCATATGCTCTTGGCAAGACTTTTGATATACTGCGGGTTGATTTTCTGAGTTTGGCCTTACAGAGTGTCAAGCTACTTTCATCCTTTTGGTCAGGCAATGCTAAAGCGATGTGGGCTTCTTTCAAGTCCTCCTCATTTAATGAAGGACAGTCAGTCTCATTGGTACGCTCAGATGTCGTTGTTGACTCATCTTTGGAATTGCAACTCACAATCCTATCTTCATTAGGGTTTACATGTTTATTTTTAATATCATCAAAATTGGTGGTTGGTTTTGAATGGTTCATTCTCTTCCCCAAATGATTCTTCATCAGTGCAGCAGCCAAAACATGTACTTTTTCTCCTCCATGTTCTGTTCGCTTCCCAGGCAATCTAACACTTTCATTTTTTTTCAAATGAACACGTGGTTCCAAGTCTCCATCTACAGCCTTCATTTCTTCAAAAATTTCAAGCAGATCCTTGCATTCAAATCTTTCAGCGACTTCCTTGATCTGGTGCAGTCTGTCCACTTCAATTTCTAACTCTGCAGTGTAAACAAATTTGAGGAATGAGACAAATTCTTCAGCATGAATATCCTGGAGGATCACTGTGCAGTTTTTGACGTTCTTCATTTCACTATTGAGAAAAAGGCTTTTAAAGTAATTGCTAGAAGCTGCTAAAACAGCTTTGTGAACGGAAAATTCTTGTTGGATTTCCAGCTGGTCTGTGTATATTGTAACATCACAAAAATGTCCAAATTGATAGAGAGAATGTAATGTTCTCAGGAGGTTGGAGGCAGCAACACTGGATTTCATTAAAATTTTCTTTTTTTCCATCCTATTAAACAGAAATACAGTTGAGAACATTTCAACAGCTTGTATAAATTACCCTTCTCGTCAAAATTGGTTTTAATGTCAGATCTTCCATATTCACACTAAGGACTTATACAAGTTTTTCAATATTTAAAATTCCTACAATCAATAGCCAGATAGACAATGGTAGATTAATTGATGAAAAGTCTTTTTTTAATTTAAAGGTTACAATACCATCTATGCTTACTTAAGTTGCATTATATTCTAGCCTCTGTCCTCTACAATTGTGAATTGTGTAAAGCTAAAAGGACGACTTTTGGACAACCAGCATATAAAAAAGAGAAACATGAAGATGATGTATACATAATTCAGATTTCTGTAAACACTAGACAGCAAGTTTTTTCAAATGTTTTGCTTCCTGAAAAACTTTAGGTGATTATGATATTCATAGCCCTTCAAACTAAACGCAAATATAAATTCAGAAAGACTGCATTATATAGGAGTCTTCAGAAATATGAAATTAACTTTGAATGACTACAACATATTTAATTATGCAATGTTTCTGACAAATCGCATGAGTTCAACAGGGCTAAAAATGTTTTGCTACTGATTTTCATTTGTACTTGGGTGTCAGATGCATCTCTGTCCAACAACAGTCAGCCAGCACTGATGGATTCCTGTTGCCCTGATACCATTTTTTCATAGCAGCAATATCCTGGTGGAGCTTTTCACCAATTTCGTCACTGACTGGGCCTAGATTTTCAGGAACAAAGTCCAAGTGTGAATGCAGCAAATGAATCTGCAATGACATTTTTGCACTTTATGGTTTTGCATGCTGCAAGAGGTTTGTCAACTAGCTTAATGTAGTTCGGTGCTCTATGGTTGCCAAGAAAATTCTCAATGATACCTTGAGTGCTTTTCCAGGCAAATTTCTCCAGCCCCGTTGTCAGGACTTCAAACTGCTTGCCACTGATGACATTTCTGCTCTGGGGACCAATACAAATGTTCTCCTTAATCTTGGCATTAGTTATTCATGGAAACATCTGTCTCAAATAATGGAAACCTTTTACCTTCATTGCTCATCGCTTTACAATTTTTTTCCTCAGTCTGAGTTTTATGTGAAGCAGAGGCAAAAATATTTTTGTCGGTCAACAAGTGGTTCACATGACACATTTTTCTGTCCTGGAACCAAATTATTTCGGAGTACCATTTCTTTTTAACATGACTTTCTTGCATGGCTGTCCCACTTGCATATGTAACAACACTACTTGGTATACCAGTGCTACATTCCAAGAGCAGAGCCACTACTTTAGATCTCCACAGATATTCCAGCTGGATGTGCTGCAACAACAGTTTAATGTTCTTATATGTTTTTTTCATCTTTGCAGCAAAGCCAAACATATGAAGAGTGCAGGTGGCAAAAACAAGATTTCTATAAAATGGGATGTGTAAATTACAGGTTGTTTTCAAGATTAACTGCCACAAATCTATAAGATACAACCCAAAGTGTACAAGGAGCAAAATCTTTGTTGTCCGTTGAAATCATTACACTGCACTATAGTGCAAAATTTTGTGAAATATTACTTTTATGTATGAAAGCAGCCAAATTGGAAAGGAGGAAGCTTCTTTGATTCAGCCAATAAAACAAGAAACAAGACACAGAAAATACTAAATCAGACTTTTGCCCCAACTCTTTATCTTTCTACTTGCAAGGAAATTGTTTTTATTTAAATAAAAGAATGTTCAAAAATACAACCTGCCTACCTTCATCTGACTGAATGCATTAAATGGATCAGACAATTTGCAGGAATAGTTGATAGATAATTAACAGGGAATTCCTTAGATCTGTTTCTAGGAAAATTACCCATTTGCCCTTGCTTCCCAGAAGAGAAAGCTGATGTATCTAGAGCAGTGGTGGCAAACCTATGCCACGGGTGCCAGAGGCGGCACTCAGAGCCCTCTCTGTGGGCACGCGCGCCATCGCCCCAGTCCTAGGCCTTCAGTTGGGTTTTACAAAATCTTTTCGCTTTAGGCCTCTGCTGCCGTGTACAAAAAAAAAGGTTCAATCAATCGGTCAATTTCAACTTCTCGCGGGAAAAAAAAAGATTTTGCAAAGTTGGAATTGATTGATTGAACTTTTTAGCCTCACCCAGTCTGCTGTTACCACAGCAGCCACACCCACCCAATGGACCACATCCACCCAATGGGCCACACCCACCCGGCACCCGATGATGCATAAGTAGGTTTTGGGTTGCAGTTTGGGCACTCGGTCTCTAAAAGGTTCGCCATCACTGATCTAGAGTATTTATTTCATTTTTTGGACTGACAAGAGAATGATCAAAACCAGGCATTCCTATCCTATACTCCTCCAAATAAGCTTAGACCGCAAATTCTGTCAATTGTAGCAACAGAGGAATGTATGAATATGTTGAACTATAATCTCCAAGGGCATAATGTCGGGAAAAGGTAGAATATAGCAGTAATGGCAACTGGAGAGGCTGAGGTTCAGGGCATCATTCAACAGGGCTTCCTTTGGATCTTCGCCCTCCCTTAGTCCAGACTACCTCACAAGGTGATTGTGAGGATAACTATAGTGGAGAACTTCTTGTAAGCCACGAGGATTGACTTCTCAGAAAAACTGAGGGGCATAAATGCTATTTCTAAAAGATTGCCCAAGATGTAGAGAGAAGTTTTCTCTCCTAATCTTGCAAGTGGGGAAAAATTTAGCAAAACTGAAAGGGATCCAGGATTAATGAAACAAAAGCAGCAGGGTACTTTATGTTAAGGAATCCAAGGAAGCCATCTCCTAACCATACCCTCCAGATCTGTCTCCTGCTCCCGGCTGACTGAGGATAACGGCGTTACAACGTAGTATAGCCCTCGAAACTCCTTAGAAAGCAGCAAGTTGATAAAAGCTGCCTGGCTTTTACTTGCTCCCCGAAGAGGTCGCCACGGTCAACAACAAGGCTGGTTGCATTAGGACCAGATAGAATTTCAGATGGAAAAAAAGGTCGTGCAGCAGCCTTGAGTGACAAGACCTATTCCTGAGCAGCGCATATCCCTTGCCCGGTTATGGGCAAACAAAGAGGATGTGGCACATCTTCCCACCCAGCTTGTCTGGCGCAAATACCAATCGGAACGATGCTCCGGAGCATCTTTTCGGGGCTCGAATCCTGGAGGTTCGACTGACCTGCTCAGCGGGGGAGGCGAACGGGGAGACAAGCCGAATTCTCACTCAGCTGAAAGCGACTTTGACAGCCACCATAGAGGCGCAGGCCCGTGACCGAGGGGCTATCCAGGAATAAAGGTTGGCTGGAGTTTGGAGCTCGTCTCCTCCTCGCCCCCTCGCCGTCGTCTATGGTATTCCATTGAGACAGAGCAGTCCGCCATCTTTCTGGTGGGCAAGGAAGCCCCAGAAGCCATCTTTAGCGAAGCACGCTAGAGTAGACTCTTTCCTTGGTGTGCTCGCGCCACCTGCTGGAGAAAGGAAGAGTTTGCGAAGAGCAATACATTCGTTTGGAACCTCGCGTCCGCGCTGGGTCGTTTTTTGCTTTGTAGTGTTGTTTTCCCCGTTTTCCCCGAAGCTTGTGGCCTCTACAAAACTCGGTGAGAGAGACAGAGAGAGAAACAGCGACAGAGAGAAACAACGAGTAAGCAAGCAGTGTAGGGTCACAAAACTCCACAATATAGTGGAGTTGCACTATATATAAGAAATAACTGCATCTCTAACAGAAATAGAGCACAACAATAATGAAAACTGCCTTGAATGCATTTGGGTCAATATAAAAGGGGGGAAAATGACATTGCCATAGGTGTATACTGTAGGTCATCCAACTAAACAGAGGAAATAGATGAACTTTTTGCTAGTCAGTTAACTGAGGTATGTAGGAAGCACATCACAATAGTAATGGGGGACTTTAATTACTCTGACATCAACTGGGAGACAAACTCTGCACCAAGTGGAAGATCAAACAGGTTCCTGACAAATCTAGCAGACAACTTTGTCTCCCAAAAAGTAGAGAAGGGAACTAGGGGATCAGCTGTATTGGACTTAATTCTCACTAACGGAGATGAAATGATAGAAGGTGTTGAAGCCACAGGAACCTTGGAGGGGGAGTGCAATATTGGAATTCAACATTATGTAAGCACAATCAATATAACATAGTCAAACTAGGGCCTTAGACTTTAAGAAAGATAATTTCAATAAACTTAGAGTTTGGGAAGGATTCCATGGATGACAATCCTCAAGTCAAGGGGAAAACAACTCAAGAAGCTTGGTAAATTTTGAAAAGTGAAATTATAAAAGCCCAGTCTAGCACAATATCAGTGAAGAAGAAAAATAGCAGCTCTCAAAAGAAACCAGCATGGCTGCATAAAGAACTCTCTGATAAACTGAAAGACAAAAACGACAAGTATAAAGAGATTAAAGAGAAAGATGATTCAGTTTACTTCAAAAAATGGGATCATTTTTACCAATGGTTAGGAAACTAGTGAGAAATGAATGTGATATGTTATTTTGAATATATATTTGTAAGAAGAATGATATGCATTGACCAACTGATACTGTTTATGATTATCGTTTATCATATTTACTACAGCTATTTACCACTATATCAATTAGTGTTAACTGAACATTTGTACCGAGACAATAGTCTGTTTGCTAAAGATTGAAAATGTTATTGGGGGATAACCCCAATGTTGATCCCAACCTTGTCCTAATCCCAATCCTGGTCCTAACCCTACCCCATCCCAATCCTATCGTATCCCCAACCCTATAAAACTCAATAAAATATTTAAAAGAAAGAAAGAAACCAGCATGGCTGCATAAAGAATTCTCTGATAAACTGAAAGACAAAAATGACAAGTATAAAAAGTGGAAAGAGGGGCACATAACTGAGGCAGAATATTAGCAGATAGCCTGAGCTTGCAAAGATGAAGTGAGGAAAGCTATGGGTCAACATGAACTAAGACTTGTGATAAATGTCAAAAATAACAAAAAAAAGCTTCTTTCAACATGTAAAAAA